TGAAAACGTATTATATATTCTCTAGACTAGATTCATCACTTATGACTTACGAGGCTTAGTTGTGTCTATCAACAGTGCCAGCACGAGGAAAATGGTAACTTTTGTCAGAAGGGGCTAAATTGCACATTTAGTCATTCGAATTATGCAATTCTTTAATGTTTGCCACCTAAATTACTTTTCTTTCTTATTCACCATTAATTTTACGAATCGTTTCACCATTAGTCACCGGTCGTTACACTCCGTTAAATATGTCCTACGTGGCAGTCAACTATAAAATTTGACCGTTAACTAGATGACGTGGAAATTTAAAAACAATAAAAATTTAATTTATTTGTCCACCTCATCATTCCACTTACTTTCTGTATATTATTTATCATATTATTTATCTAATAAAAATTAATTAAATTACAAAAATAATTAATATGATTAATTTATTCTCCACCCGTCAAGATCCGAAGGACGAGAGTGTTGTGTAAGCAACCGCCGATCTCGGTCCATCTTTGGTGTCGTTCATCTTCTCCTACCCTGACACCGGACCATCCAAATCACATAAAAGCGAGGAAACAAAATCAAGAAGAGTCAGGTGGGAATTATTGAAGAACATTATTTATCCATATAGTTTACAACAAAATTGAACAAAGCTGGCTCGATGCTTCCGAGCAATCAGCGATTGAGAAATTCCAATTCCACAAGCCACAACCAAACTAAATCTCAACGAATGGCGAAAGAGAAAAGGGAAAATGAGAACTGTAGGCGGTAGCTCGTTCGGTTTAGTCTGCCGACATTTTCATTTTCCCGATACAAAGTCTAGATACCTTCAGATCTCGTCGGAACAGAGTCCGAGCGAGCAGAGATAGAGCTGAAGAGGGGAACAGAGCCGCCACCGAGAAGGAAATGAGGAAGGCTAGCGAACGAGGCTTCAAGGAGATTTGTTTATAGAGTGAGGTGGCAGTTAGATTTTGAGCGTACGTACTGCCGCCGAGGAAGATGGTGGCCTTGAATGCGTTTTGCAGTGCCGATTCAATGACCGACGGTTGGCGGATGAGGAAGTAAGGGAAGGGGAGGAACTGGTGGAATAAGTCGAGTTGGGGTTGCTTGCTCAGAAACAGAGTCATGGACATGGACAGGTACTCGACGGATGAAAACGGAAAACCCTCGTCATCGCAACAGACGATGTGAACGAGTCGGCTGCAAATTTGGACAACCATCCAGCCAACATGTAAAAGCGAGTGAGCGCCTTAGGGAGTGACGATTTTAGGGTGTCGAGTACTGTGTCTCCGCCTGGTTTAGATGGTCCGGTGACAGGGAGATGAACGACACCAAGGATGGACCGAGATCGGCGGCTGCGTACAACAGCAATCTCGTCCATCGGATCTTGATTGGTGGAGAATAAATTTATCATTTTGTTTGCAATTTAATTAATTTTTATTAAATAGATAATATACAAAAAGTAAGTGGAATAATGAGGTGGACAAATAAATTAATTTATTATTTTAAAAATATTTCCACGTCATCTAGTTAACGGTCATATTTTATAGTTGACTGCCACGTAGGGCAAATTTAACGGAGTGTAACGGGCGGTGACTAATGGTGAAACGACTTGTAAAGTTAGTGGCGAATAAGAAAGAAAAGTAATTTGGGAGGCAAACGTGAAAGATTTGTATAATTCGAGTGACCAAACGTGTAATTTAGCCTGTTGAAGGGAGGGAAAGGCTTTGTATTGTACGAAAACTGTGAGAGATGGTGAAAATTAGTGATAGCCATTAGGGCTGGATTTTCGGTTAGTTCGATTATAACCGATAACCGAAATGTCGGTTACCGGTTAACCGCGACGCCACCAATGGTTACCACCAACCGCCCGACGGAAGCTGTCGGTTAGCCGGCAACCGAACGGTCGGTTATCGGTTAGTTTCTCGGTTAACCGAAGTAACCAAGAGACGCAATGACCGCCGGTTTAACTGAGTGACCGAACCGGTAACCGAACCGTACAGCACCCCTATGCAAATGAGATCGATACAAATTGCCTAAAATTAAACGTTCAGCCCTACATTGCTACATCTAAATCACTCCACAAGTCAAGTTTCAACATTTTTGCATACAAAATAGATTTAAATCACCAAATTAATGTCTCAAATACTAGAACATAAAGTCATAAACTTCATAAAGTCACAAATTACAAGTCACCATCAATTCATCACTTATCAACCAAAGAAGAACCAACATCTACATAACCCTTTTCTTTCAGTTGCAGCAAGAGCTGATGACCAACATCGTCATATCCATCTTTCTCATATTCTTCCTCCGGCACATTTTCTTCATCCTCCTGCTCATTCCCATCTGGAATGTTCTGACTTGCATTTGCATTGGCAACGCCAACATCACTTCTTACACTTTCCATTCTAGACTGGAAAGTGGTATTAACTGAGTAAGAAAAAGGAAAACAAATTGTTAGAATATTCATACATTGAATTAGGTAGAAAGAAATAGTATTTGTTTACTTCAACAAACAATAATTAAAAGAGTTTTAGAACTTACCGTTTTCCAAATCCATGATCTCTTCATCTTCTTCCCCATCGTCATTATCTCCGGCCACGGCATCTTGATACTTTATCCAATCCTCCACACAAATCAATGCCTCCAACATGATATCACTCAAAGAAGACCTGAATGGACTGAGAATCCGACCGCCACAACTGAAGGTTTCCTCAGAGGCAACATAAGAGATGGGAATAGCTAGGATATCCTTAGCCATCTCAGCAAGAATCAGATATGTTCCAGAATGTCGAGACCACCAACTCAAGATGTCAAACTTGGCATCATCACTCTCCTCATTGATGCCATCAGTTTGACATCTTAAATAGATGTCAAGCTCAGCAGAGCTACCTCCTGTATCCTGCAGAAGTGCTTCTCTTTTCCTCTTCCTAATCCTCTACTCTAGCTGCTTAATCCTATCACCACCAACTGTACTCTCACCAGTGGTAGGCTCAGATGCAGAGGAGGGTGCTTTTGATCCATACTTCCCTTTGTAAATCTCAAATAGCTGTCGCATTTCCTTTCTAATGCACTCAACAATTTCCTTCCTAAATTAAGTGGTTCACCTTCATGTTCTTCTCGTTCACGACACATGATTCAAACCAATACTTTTGTACCTTTTCCTCAACCTTCTCAACCATCTTTTGGATCTCTTCAAGTGGATCCTTCTTCAATTTCTCAATGATGTCATATACCGTAACAAGCTTCTTGAAGAAGATATGCATAGTCACATATTTAGTTCCTGTACAATGAGAAGGTACCACTAGAAGATTAGAATAACACAAATAGAAATGGGAAAATCGTTAAAATTTTTAAATAAAACAATGCAGTTCAGGAATTTCACTTACCAGGGACTAGAAGGGTCAAGTCATTGAAGACTTTCAGATAGTCTCTCAACTTCCTAATCATCTGCCAATCTTGATTAGTTGGAAGCCCACCTCTTGAGTCCAGATAATCTCTAAGAGAATGATCGTGTGGACTTGAATACAAAGTTGTAAACACTGCCTCAAAACTTTCTGGTGACTCTAACATGGTATAGGTGGAGTTCCACCTGGTCGGTACAACCTAGCTGGTGAAGACCTCACCCACTTCACACAATCCCGAACTCTGTCCACAGCACCACCAACAACTTTCAGTCCATCTTGTACCGCCAGATTAATGATGTGCGCAACACATCGAAACTGTAGAAACTTCCCATCCATCAAATCACACCCCCACTCCTTTAGCTTCGTTATCATGCACTCACTGACAACATCATTTGAAGTTGCAGTAACACACTTGTAATTCTTGTTGTTATCAGAAGTCCATGTATCCGTAGTGATTGAAACTCTTCCTTGGCTCCTTGATTCAAAAAAATCAATTAAATCCATCTTTTTATCCAAGAAGATATGAAAGCAGTCATCTCTTATAGCTTTCCTCCCGAGTATCCTAAACAGTGGCTGAACAGAAGACATGAATTGCTTAAATCCTTCCCTCTCCACAAAGCGAAATGACAATTCATCCATAATGATCATACTGGCTAATGCATATCTAGCCTTTCCCTGATCAAACTTTCATAAACCACTTACTTGACCACCTTCTGATGTCTGGAATACTGTCTGATTTTTATTTCCTGCCGACTTAGCCAAACATGAGTGCATGTGGGTTATTCATTGCAGTGGTCCCATTTTTGGGAGGATGAGCTTTGATTAGAGTATGACAGTGTATGCACTCTCCCATCGGGTAGTTGTCAACTATCAACTTCTTAAACACCTTCCAACAAGAAGCTTTACCCACCGTCTTCAACCATTTCTCGCAGTAAAAAATGTCTCCTGTAGCTGTCACTGAATCAGGAGCGCCCGTGTAAACAGAAGGAGTCTTGGCAGGTGTACCGGCAGGTGTACTTCCACTATCGACAGGGACGGGAATCGGTGGAATTGATGAAGACGGTTCAGCTTCAGCTAGTTGAACAGGTCGACTTCCTGTACGCCCACCACGACCCTGTGTCTGAACAGGAGCACTCGCACCACCACGACCTCGAATGGACGGAGGTCTCTCACCACGAGGAGCAGTAGCAGCAGTAGGGACACCTCGTCCACCACGTCCACCACGAGGAGCCGGAGGTCTCACCCTACAAAAACAATTACACAAATTGAGACCCAAAGAGCAAAGAGAGCCAAAGAGCAGTGAAAAAGCAGCAGAAAAAGACTTGTACAACATTATTTGAAACAAAGAACTGACGAAGAAAAGAAGTCTTATCATTAGCAGATTGAGTTTGAATTGAAATTACAATTCCTAGCTACTAAATTGTGCTCTCGATCTCAATTCCAAGTAGTATAAATTCTCAAACCCTCCCAAATTACAACTTCCCAACTTCCACAATCCAATCTCAACTTCCCCACTCTCTCATTCTTCCCAACGACCAATTAACCACCACCTCCATTATTCTCCTTTATAAATTAACTCATCCCAAAACTCATCAACTCCTTATTCTCTCTCAAAACCCAGAAACAGAAACCTCAACAAATCAACAACAATGGCGCTCCCTCACTCTCCTTCCCCTTCCTCCTCCTAACTCTCTTCCTCCCTCCGTCCCTCTATATACCAACACATGGGAATAACAATTATGATGAGCATCTCATCTCATTCAAACAAGCTTCACCAATTGAAATCATATACTAATTGGAAACGAGAACCAAATCATATACTTTTAGAAAGACAAAGTAAACTTACATAATTCAATGGCTACCGCAGAGGGGCACTGGTCGCCGTTCTGGAATGGCGCCGGCAGACTGCTGGCTGCGAATGGCGCCGGCAAGCAGAGGAGGCCAAGGCGAGGTCGCGGGCTCACGGCGGCTGAAGGAATGGGATGGCTGGTGGGCGGCGGCGATGGCGGAGGGTCTCGACTCTCGCGATGGCAGGCGGCAGCGGGAGGCGGTGCCGGGAGGAGGCTCTCAACTCTCGGCTCTCGCGATGCTGCAGAAGAGAATGAGAGATTGAGGGTCTGCTTGCTTGAGGTGGGACTAGTCGTGCCGGTTAGCCGGCGGTTATCACCGTCGGTTAGCCGGTTAACTGGCACGGCCAGCCCCGCTACCGCCAACCTCCCGCAACCTCTTTTTTGATTATCCGGTTAACCAATAACCGAATGGCCAGCCTTAATAGCCATTGAGGTATATATAGGCTCGAGAGGGAGCTCATAAATGCGTTTTTTTTTTGGTAGAAATGCGTATCTTCTCTGTCTGCGTGTTTGGATTGGTGTCATTAAAGCCCAAATAAGATTTTGAAGGGAAAACCACCAAGCACCTGAAATGGAAGAAAATCGGGAAACCGAACAGAAACATGACCGGTTGCAACATGATGAAGATCCAACCAAAAAAGGTAAAAGAGTTTTACGAATCATTTGACCAACGGATTGAACGTGAGGAGCTTACAATGAGTGTCGTTTTGGGCATTGTGATTTTGGAATTATACTAAACTGTTAACTTTGGAAAGTGATTCCCTTTAAACCACTTGAATACATTTCCTATTTTCCATGCCAAATTAGGGAACAAAATCCAAGTAAATGTTTTTGAATTAATAGTAAAAAAAAATTTGATAAAATTTCCTATTTTCATTTTTGTATACAAAATAAGCGGTATTGTAGAATCCCGCATCCAATTCTCATATCAAGCTATATTCATAAACTAGCATAGGCCCCGGTCATTTGGCCGGAGGAAGGTGAGGTAAGAAATTTGATAATGTAATGGGGTGTATAGCTTATTATTGTATAGTTTTTTTGGGAAACACGTAATAAAAATAGCGAATTTTCGTAGGAAAGAGACATGAATGATGCAACGAATCAAAAATCAGCCTTATGAACCAAAATCAAGTACCTGTTACCTTGTGAAACAATATTGTTTCTGGTAATATGATGAGGTGGAGAAATTTTTATAGAAACCAAATTCCAGAAAATCGAATAAAAAATCGCTTATCCCGTCGGTTTTCGGGAAATGAGCATCTCACAATCGTTGCTAGCTTTTACTCGGCACGTTGGCCGATTAATTTGCTTTATAAAACTTTCATCTTGTCATCATTGTGCTTTCTGGTTTTTTGCCAAACCATGATAAAATCTAAAGAAATCAAGAACGAACAACACGATTTGGGATAGGAACCACTGTACCGTTCCTCTATCCCTAGAAAATGGTGGTAAACACAAACTCACCTGCGAAACTGGTTTGGATTGAGATTTTTATCGGTTACCAGGGAACCATGTGATTATAAATTAGACTTGATCAAAACGGGCCAAAACTTGAAATTCAGCCTGTTTGACCGACCCATGCCAAACTCTAATTATTCTTTACTTTTAAACTTTCTATTTGAAAATAAAAAATAATGAAAGAAAAGATATTACTGCAATTCGCCATTTGCACATCACTGATTCGGGAATAAAACTATAAAATTTTGAAAGGAAACTGAAAATGTTTAGGATCGTTTTAATGTTAAAAATAACCAAATAGATCTTTCTGTTTAGTTTTTTACTAACAAATACCAAACGATTCCCTATAATATACATTATAATTTAATCATTATGATATCAAATAATTACATAATATATACTTGAAATGATAAAAATTGGACTAATTGGGTTGGTCGAGGTTGAACCATTGAACAACTTTAAAATATATTATATTTTAGCCACTAAGATATAAAATAATAGCACAATATAAATTATGCTAGAGAAAATAGTTTGTTTTAGAATGCCAAACCCATGATGTTCATTTGTTTTTACTTGGTGGGCAAATCCCGTGTAGGTCAGACCCATTCAACTCTTTTATTTTATGATTAGCGGTTAGCCCATTAGAATCCATGCATTAGTTTATGATTATGCTAGAGAAAATAGCTTGTTTTAGAATGGCAAACCCATGATGTTCATTTGTTTTAGTTGATGGGCAAATCCCGTGTAGGTCAGACTCATTCAACTCTTTTATTTTATAATTAGCGGTTAGCCCATTAGAATCCATGCATTAGTTTATTGTGAAATTTTTTTATTTTTAGCAATAAAAAGGAGTATTGTTTTTGTCTTTTCATATATATTTTACCACCACGGAGAAATAAAAGGACTTAAAGAAAAAAATTGACACTCATGGACCCGTTTAAATCCGCATGTGTACGGTGGTAAGTTGGCCCGTTCCACAGAGGAAAAAGAAAAAAATTGATACTCCCTATTCTACCCTTCCTACAAACGCTCCTGGAGCAGAGAATTTGAAATGGGGGAAGGGTTTTTTTCCTTTCCGCGATAATATGTTTTTAATTTAAAAAGATATAACAAATGTACTTAGTATGATTGGTTATGATCTTTGCTTTTCTTTAAAGTGGTCATGGTTCGAATCCTAGTAAGTGTCTTTTTAATGAATAAAAAAAAGTAATTGTGAAGACCAAAATGTCTTTCCTACTTTCACTCCGGATGCATGAAATTTGAAATGAGGCTTCAAATTTTTTCATTTTGGCTTTTATTTATTGTGTAGATAAATAAAATTTCTCATATAAAGCTATGCGAGAGTGCATAATTATTTCTCTAAATTAAGTGGAATCTTAAAATGAAGAAGAAGAAAAATAGAGCTCGATAAATGAAGTAAAAATATTAGCCATTTATTCATATAATTTTATTCCTTATTACTTCGTCACAGATAATAATGGCTATTAGGGATGGCAATGGGGCGGGTTTGGGAGGGTTTGCCTAAACCATCCTCATCCCCTTCTTCAAATACCCTAACCCATACCCGCCCCATACCATTGCGAGGAATGTTTTGCAAACCCATCCTCATACCCGTGCATTTCGGGTACCCATGGGTAATACCCATACTCGTACATCCAACATTATTATACCTAAAACTTACAAGAAAAGTTTTAATTATAACTCTAAACGAACATATTATATCATGAAGTCAACAAAACGGAGTCATTTTTAATGTGGTTCAAAGAATATGATCCTAAAATATCCATTTATACATAATATAGAGTATAATATATTTCAAATTATTATGTTCTAACTCTGATACATCTGCTAAGTAATAATTAACTAACATAATCTTGTTGACAAAGGGGAAAGTGAAAAGGAGAATTGAGAGAAATGAATTAGGTTTTGATTAAGGTGGCCAGTCAATTGCATTTGTACTATTTATTTTCTCAAGTTATCCTCATCATCATTGATAGATTACAATTTGATGCACTAATATTTTTTATATATGAAGAAATTCTCTTGGTGGGGCGGGTATGGGTATGGGTATGGGGCGGGGAGGCTAATATCATACCCGCCCCATACCCATCAAACTTTTTGCGGGTATTACCCATACCCGATCAAAGCGGGAATTTCCCGCGTTGACTGGGTCGGGGGAGGTCGGGTACCCGCGGCCATGAGTTTGATTGTCATCCCTAATGGCAATGGGCGGGGCGGGTACCTCAATGTCCATGTCCCGCCTCATGCTACTACGGGTCGGGGCGGCGCGGTGCGGGTCGACCCACTCTGACATGTTATTTGATAATCTTCGAAGATTCTCTGTTTCTTCTCCCTCCAAATAGTCCAGCAGAAACAGTGAAGAAACACACATGTGCACCACTGAGAAGGATTTTGAGGCTCTCGAGTGTTCTAGGCAGCAATGGTATCAGTGTTGTTGCTCTGAGGCACGTTGTCAAGCTTGACGAACCTATTGGTGATATCCTACACTTTCCTCACAAACCTTAAGCAAAGGAAAAGATAATCTATGTACTCCTCCGCGCTCCGAGACAGCTTGCACCTGCTAGGCATCGCACACCCGCGTCTTCTAAGTGCGTCTTGAGTAAGGATACGCCTATGAAAAGCAGTCCACAAGAAGAAACAGACCTTGAGCAGGACAGTCTGCAGCCAAATCATCCTGCAAGGGAATCCCTGGTCACCAGGCATCAGATCTTTGAGTCGAACTTCATACATGGATCTGACCGTGAAGCCTGCAGTAGGTTGCGACTGACAGAGAACTCTTGGAGGACTTGAAAGCAGAACAGTAAAAGCAAAATTCAAGCAAATTTATCAGCCTCGCCCTCTCCCTCTCAGCCCCTCCCCTTAAAGAAAAGTTTAATTTGATATCACAAATAATACTCTCTCCCTCAACACGGAAATTATCGACAACACGACTATTAGGAGAGGAGGCCGCAACAGCAATTCTAGGGGAATCCTCAACCAACGTCACACCTTGCATCCATCTATCGAACCAAAAGGATCTCCCTGTGTTCCCTACCTCAATGAAAACATGGTTCCAAAAGTCCTTTAATTTGATTATTTTGCTCCAAGAGCTGCACCCTCTCGCCCCTGCATTGTCCGCCGAATTCCAATCAGAGATGGTGCTAGGGAATTTAATAGCGATCATACGTCTCCACCAAGCTTCCTTATGGTTTGAAATTTTCCACAACCATTTGCAAAGGAGGGCAATGTTTCTCTGCTCGAAATCAGCAACGCCAAGACCTCCAAACTCTTTGGGCAACTTGCACTTGCTCCACGCCACAAGATGAATCTTCTGTTTTTTATCAACACCTGACCATATAAAGTCACATTGGATTTTTTCAATGTGGTCTCAATCACAGATCTTGGAGTACGGAAAAGCGAGGCCAAATAGAGTGGTTGACTGGCAAGGCAAGCATTGCAAAGGATGATTCCGCCACCAGGAGAAAGATAGCCCCCTTTCCAACTCTCCAACTTTTGCTGCATCTTAGAGATGATCGGGTTCCAGATGGAGCACTTTGTTGGACAAGAAGCCAACGACATCCCAAGGTACACAGTGTGAAGGAATTCCCAATCGCAGCCTACAATCTCTGCTAATCTTTCAATATTGTAAACATCTCCCACAAGGTAAATTCTGCTCTTCTCCAAATTAATCCTTAATCCAGTGATACATTGAAAACAGATCAGAGCGGCGGGTAACATTCATGACTTCCTCCTCGATGGCATCGCAAAATATTATAGCATCATCGGCGTACAGGAGGTAAGTAGCTTCACCCACAATGCTAGCTTCATCGATGGAGAAACCGTTAACCAACCCGGTCTCACTCGCTTTTTGAAGAATGAAGGTGAGAAGCTCCATCACGATGCAGAACAAGAATGGAGACATCGGATCCCCCCTGCTTAAATCCTCTCTCCAAACCGAAAAACCCTACAACTTCCTCGTTGACGAGGACTGACAGCCTTGACGAGGTCACAGAACCTATG